TGAGTGTTCTGTCTCCCCTTGAACCGACCCTGAGGTCTGGTTCCCCCAAGCCAAAGGGACTTGCTGCCCACTTTGGAGGGCATCAGGGCTCGCTCTGAATACACGTGTGTCGGTACAACATGAGGTTGGCAGGCAAAGGGCTCAGGACCTGGGAGATCGGGCTTGGTCCCTGAGGAAAGGAGGGTGGGGATCCCAGGGTGAGGCAGAGACAAAGGCAAGAAAGAGGGACAGAGAATGCTTTTTGACTTGGGGTCCACGGTAGGAGAAAGTCTCTGACCAGCCAGGCGTATGTATGTGTACATATGTGCAGAAATGGACAGGTAAAGGGCATAGCTCAGAAAGCATTTGGTTTGGTGAAATGTTGCAGCAAGCACAGTGCCGACACAGCACTCCAGAACACACTCGAGTTGGTGAGCAGGCATTTCAGGGTCCCGAGTCATGTCAGAGGGTCCGTGAGAGCCAGCACCTCAAGAAGAAGGCACAGCTGAGGAGACCGAGGGGTGAAGGTCAGGGTGGCCATGGAAAGGCAGGGTCAGATGGGGGCAGCCGAGTGCCATAGCAGCCAGCTCTCCATGTAGACTCCCCCTTCTCTGACCCCTGCGGAGTCCCCTCCCCACAGCTGGAAAGCATGAATGAGGCTGCTTACAGAACAAAACAAAACAAAAGCCAATCCTGGCTAGAGTTCCCTTCCTTTTCCCAGAGATCTTGAGGCTTAAGTCTGCTGCTGAGCCAAGGGGCGTCTAGACGCCAGCACACCTGCACCCAGGGACTAGCCCGACCCCACGTGGAGCCTAGAGAACAAGTGATACCGTCACCCATCCAGACCTGGGGACCCCCACTTTTCTGGAGCAAATCCGGCCTGCATCTTGGTGACATCCTCCTTTCACCTGGTCCCTCCCCCTCTATTGGGGGGTAGGGGGGTGGGTCAGCACAGAGACAGTGAGGAGCACCTACTGACTCCACACGCAATGCGATGCCAGGCCTGTCAGGTGTGCAGGAAGCTGGGGGCGGGAGGTGGGGTGGTGGTGGAGGGGAACACGGACTGCGGAGGGTGCTTGGACCTCACAATGAGGTGCCTCAAACCTGGCAGGCGACAGTGGTCAGTGGTGTGGTGTGGAGGCAGGGGAGAACAGAGAGCAGAGGCCCGGGCCAAAGAGGTCAGATGCTGGCTGTGTGTGTGGTGGGGGAAAGCAGGTGGGTGGTCCACACTGTAGGGGGAACGCTTCTAAAAGGGCCCTGGGACTCGGCCCTTGGGTGTAATGATGCAGAGAAAGGGCAGCGTGAGGAAGGTTTGATGGGCTGCAGTCTGCTGAAAGAGGGAAAACACAAAATCAAACCCAGGCTGCTCATTCCCCTCAAGAAACAGGCAGGACTCTGCCTCCTCGGCCAAAGAAAGGGTTGGCCTGGCTTGGCACTTGCCAACAGCCATGAGTATGTGTCCCTGCGATGTCAGCAGGGGAAGGGGGAGGAGCCGACCCCTCTGCGTCTGGAGGACCTCGGCAGCAGGTGCCAGTGGTAAATACCTGAGCCGGGGGTTGTCCACCCGAGGGAAGGGCGCCTGGCGGTGTGGCCGACACAGCGGTGGAGGGCGAGAACCGGGCTCTGACTTGCATCCCGCCTTGGACCATGGTTGCGGTGATCATCTTTGGGGACAGAGGGACACAGACACATCATCGAGACAGAAATGCAGCGTGTGGGCAGGGTGAGGTGAGGTGAGGCGAGGCATGGTGAGGGCATGTCTGGGACCTGGTGTCCACGGTGTGGTGCTCGCGCTGTGGATGCGCTCAGAATCAAGGGCCGGGTGGGGCTGATGGGAGAGCAGGCGGCAGCAGACTGCTGCAGAGACGTTCCCCACACCCATGGCCTGCAGCCTGTCAATTTTGCTTCCTCCCCAAGGCTGGGCATCAGACCAGAGCTTTTCTGGAACCTGCGCTCAGGCTCCTGGTTCTGGAATACACAGAGGAAAGGGACCTATTGGGGGGAAGGGGACCGGAACCCCGTAGTAACTTTGGTCAGCTTTGTTCGTGAATGCATTAGGTGACCGCAGCTCCCAGATCCATCCAGGGCTGGGACTGTGCAGGGATGCATGCGTGCTCCTTGAAGCACAGGGCAGCACCAGGAGCCTTGTGCAGCTGTGGGGCTGGCCTGGCCCGCACTCAGGACTTCGAGAAGAACTCTGAGGCTGGGCCCTCCCTCTGGAGGCTTGGTCTTGTCCATGAGGGTTAAGACCTGCACACATCCAGTCCCAAGATGGCCAGCCCCCACAAGAGAGAGCATGCCTTTTGGGAGCTGTGATGAGGTGTACTGGGAGTGGACCAGGCCCTGGCAGGAGTGTGCCCCTGCCCTGCCGTACACACTCACACACCAGTCAGAGCTCTGTGGTGGTGGTGGAGGTGGAGGGTGTGTGTGTGTGAGAGAGGCCACTCCTGTGGCCAGCCCATAACAAATCAACTTCCCAGGGGATGAGGGCAAAGGCTAAGGAAGTAGCCGCTCCTGGCGCTGCTAAACCTGCCTCACCACCACTGATGCCACACCACACAGAGAAGTGGGGGTATGGCTAGGTCAGTGTGGGAAACTGGGCCAGTTCCCTTGCTCCCCAAGGTCCTGCCTGATGATTCGGCCCCACACAGACCTCCTGGTCTTGGCCAGAGCAGCGAGATGGCACCCATTCACAGCTGGCCGGCTGGCCTTGTGTAGGCCACTTGAGAAGGTGGCAGAGGCAGCAACAAGCAGAGGAGGAGATGAGGCCTTGAAGGGAGGCAGGGGCCCACGGAGACACAGGCTATTCCTGATGATTCCCCCAGGAAGGAGAGAAGGAAGACACGCACAGGTGAGTTACAGCTGACGTTTCTCTGATGACTCACAAGGAAAACTGGGTTTCTTAGAACAAGGTGCAATAGGTTAGCAGGGCTGGGTGCAAGGCCTGGTCTGCGGATGCTTGGTCTGAAGACACTCCCTTGGTGCCACTGTGTCCACTTTGACCCTATAGGACAAGCCCAACTGCTTCTGTGGGGTTTTGAGACTTAAATCTGTACAAGAGTAGACAGCCTCACCTTTCTCCTGAGGAGTGGCTGGTGGGTTCAAACCTCGGACTGCATGGTTGGCAGCTCAATGTGTAACCCGTGATGTCACCAGAGCTCCCAAAGACACAGTAGTTCTTAATGTGTGAGTGTGTTTCAGTTACCTATGTGAAAAAAAACCCCAAACAACTAAACCTCAAAAATCAAACTCACTGCCATGAGGTGAGGGAGTCTCACAGCGACCCTAGAGGAGGGCAGGAGCCCACTTTCTGACAGAGAGGCTGGAGAGGTTTTGAACTGCTGACCTTGTGGTTGGCAGCCCAACATGTAACTACTATGCCACCAGGGCTCCTATGTGATACTAGTCCAATATGAGATTCTGCGTGCAGTCTGGGCTTTGTGTAGAACACAACTGGAAGGAAGGGTACAACGGCTTTCCCTTTCTAATTCATCCTTCTGTAAGAAGCGCTCCTTTTCTTTCACTGGTTGGTGGTGCAATGGTTAAAGTGCTCACTTGCTAAGTGAATGGTGACTCCAAGGGAGAAACGACCTGGGACCTGGCCCTCTGCAGGGTCGCAGGCTGGGACCCAACACGGGCTCCTTTCCCTTATGCTGCTGTCCACTTTCTCACCTGCTGGCCAGGCAGCTCATCAGAATGTTAGAGCCCCTGCGCCTATCTTGCCCAGGGTCCCACTCGCTCCCCAGAGGAAGTCACACAGTCCATCCTGGGCTGGGCCATAGATGAGGCTGGCCATTGGAAGCCCCAGGCTGTGAAGGCCACAACATGGGTAGCAGGCAGAAGGGCAAGAGGTCAGGGGCGCTGTGCCCAGGTGCCTTCCTTCTCGTGCTGGCTGGACACTGCCCCTGCCTGTCCCACTGGAGCGGCTGCCTGGTAGCCTTGCCGAGTAGGGAGGAGGCGAGCACAGTGCCAGCTGCCCGTCACCACGTGCCTTCTGAGCAGGCACCAGCTCCTCTCAGGCCTGAAAGGAGTCTTGTCAGAAGGCCGAGGACAGGAGGCACTCGCCCCAGAGCATGCAATGGGTGGTGACAGAGACAGATGCCAACCTTGGCGCATGGGGGCCACTTCCTCCCTCAGCTAGTCTGAGGTGTGGTTCACCCAAGGCCAGGTATGAGCCAGCAAGGACATGGGGTCCCTGGGCCTGCGACATTCAGCTCAACTCTCAGGGACTTGGACACTACAGCTAAGACACTGCCTGGAAACGGGTGTCTGACCAATCATGAACACACCACCTCCCAGACACACATGACCTGAGGGACCAAGGATGTGTCGGGAATGGGCTGGGGAAAAGGAAAGCCACTTCCTCACCCCAGTGAACATTTCCCACCACCGGGTGGGAACAGCAGACCAGTAATCTCCGCACAGCCAGCAGGAGGGTAGTAGGGAACCCTGGGACGCCACAAGGCTGACGCCCCACCCTCTAGCCAACCATGAGGATGGACCTCTGCATGCAAGTCCCAGTTCTGCCCTCTCTACTTCTGACATGACCATGTGGCACCGGCCCACATATTCCTCACCCCACAGGTGCACGCAGCCTGCACAGCCAGACTGTGTGCAACCACACACAGCTGACCACGGTGGACCAAAAGATTGCCCCAGGAGAGGGGACACTGCCACTTATGGCCTGTCTCTGGGTCCCTGCCTCAAGCAACACCCATTTCCCTTATAATTTGTGCCGGTCATTCAGTGGGGAGGGGAGGGAAGGGAGCAGCCACAGGAGGAAGAAACACTGGGGCCAGCTCCTGGGGGCGCACGTTTGCCTTGCAGAGCACCCAGGGGAGGGTCACCACTCCTGTCCACTGCTATCAAGTCAGTGACAACTCATAATGGCCCTACAGGACACAGCAGAACGGCCCCGTGGGTTTCTGAGACTGTCAATCTTTACGGGAGCACGCTGCTTCATCTTTCTCCTGACACCGACCTTGCCGTGAACAGCTCGACTTATCAGAGGATCCCCCGAATCCCACAAGGATCGGCATTCCATGTGATGTGGGCACCTGCCTGCTGGGGAGCTGAGGCCCTGCCACTGCAGATCCTCACCTGGACTCCGGAAGCGACCATCTGGGCGGCTTGAGGTGGCTGCACCGTTGTCTGGGGCTGCACCTGCGGCGGCTGCACCACTATCGGAGTTCGGACCTTGAGTGGGGGAGGAAGACTCAGTGAGGGGCCGCTGGGGCACAGAGCAAACCACCCACTGATTCCATGTCAGCCTAGCATGAGATGGAGGTGGGCTAGGCATGGCACGATGTCACTGGCCACAGCGCTGCTGCTTCTCTGTCCTATAGAACAGCCTACCCCAACCTGCCTGAAGCAGCGTGGCCCAGACCCACTGCTTCCCATCTGGCCAGAAGTGAGGGGCATCTGCCTGTGCCCACCACTGCTGTCTCACTCAGCTCTGGGCCAGCACGCTGCTGGCTATGCCTACCCGGCACACCCAAAGAGGGGCTCATCCTGAGGGCATGCAGGGCAGCCACTGGGAAGAGAAGTCTCCAGACCCACCACAGCAGGCACATGGGGCTCAGGTCCCAACAGGCCCAGAGGTCAGGCAGTGGACAAGCTTACAGGTGACAGCTATGTGATGGGCTCCAAGGCCTTCATCCACCCACAGGGTTCCGGGGAAACACAGCATGAAAATCAAGGGAGTGAACCAACAATCACATCCAAGTGGCTTTGCAGCTGGGCTTTTGGGGTGGGGTGGGGTGGGGTGTGTGTGTAAAGCAGTCTGTTCATAATAAAATCCCAAACCCCTGCTGCCATGGGGTCCACACTGGCGCGTGGTGACCCCAGCTGTGGCAGAGCAGAACTGGGCTTTCAGAGGCTGACGGCAGCAGCAGACCACCAGGGTTTTCTTCCCAGGCTCGTTGGGGGACACACGAACCTCACTCCCTTATGCCATAGCTCCCTTGGGGCTGACAGCTTTATGCTCCATCGCAAAACCACTGGGGCAGGCAGAGGAGGTAGGCTCTTGCCCAAATCCAGAGCACTACTTGGGGTGACTGGTGAATTCAATCACGAAAGAATCCCACGATCACACATCCAGGCCAGTGCCCCACTGACAGTGGGGCATCACTGGGGTCAGGGGCAGCCTGCCCTGGACCAGTGGTCCTGAGTACTCACCAGCTTCAGTGGCTGCTGGGCATAGAGCATCTGTCCCGGCAGGGCTGGCCCCTGTGATGCCAGAGACTGGTTCTGTGGCGGCAGCTGCAGGGGCTGGTTCTGAGGAGGCTGCTGGGGAGGCGGGTGGTGCATCTGCTGCAGCTGCTGGGGCAGCGCCTGGGAGGGTGGGGGCTGCGGCTGTTGCATGGGGGGCTGTTGCATGGGGGGCTGGGCCTGCAGAGCCTGCTGCTGCTGTTGTTGCTGCTGCTGCTGCTGCAACTGCAACTGTGCCATCCGCTGCAGCTGTTGTTGCTGTTGCTGGAGCTGAGGGCAGAACAAAACATACCATGGTGCGCAGCCCCCTGGGTCCCCCGGGTGCTAGGTGCCCTGTGCTGGCTGTACATGAGCACAACCCGCAGGGAAGCCTGAATGGGTCAGCCTCTCAACAAGGAGGGGGACAGGCCACCCTCCCAGTGTGCTCCTGGGCTCTCCCCCCCAAAGTCCTCACCCAGGTCTGGGGAACATGAACAAATGGGAAAGGAAGCACTGAAATCAGTGTTTCCCAAAGTGGGTGATACCGCCTCCTGGGGCGCTGCAACGATCCACCAAATCCCAAACTCACTGCCACCGAGTCGATGCCAACTCATAGCGAGCCCATAGGACAGGAGAGAACCACCTGTGTGAATTTATGAGACTGTTAACGCTTTATGGGAGCAAACTGGCAACCTTAGGATTAGCAGCCCAACTCGGAAGCACTACGCCCCTAGGGCTGGGCAACGATCTAGGGGTTGTAAAAGCAGAGACCTGCACTTCACCGTGGATTGTGGGCTACAGCACAAGCGGCTACAATGGACAGAGAGGCACTGAGCACACTTTTACATTCTGAAGGGAGATCAGTAGGCCAAATAAGTTGGAGGACTTCTGATTTGGATGGTCGGGGAGAGGGCCCGAGAGGACAGGGCAGTCCCAGCAAGTCCAAGAGCTCAGGGAGTGCAGACTCCCAGGCCTTCCCCAGCCACGGGCGCCTATGCCTCCAGAGGTCAGCAGTACAGGCCTGGTGAAGGTAACCAGAAAATGAAACTCAATGCCATTGAGTTGATTCCGACTCACAGCAACCCCATAAGACAAGGAACAACTGCCCTTGTGGGTTGCCACGACTGTAACTCTTCATGGAAATAGAAAATCCCGTCTTTCTCCTGAAAAGCAGTTGGTGGTTTCGAACTGCTGACCCACTGGTTAGCAGCCCAACGCATAACCACTATACCACCAGGGTTCTCGTGTGAAGGAGAGGCGATGCTAGAGGTTGGTTTCCCTGTCGTGTCTGAAAAGAACCTTCAAGACCCAGAGGAAGGTGGTATCTAAGATGGTCAAAACCTGGAGGGGGCAGACCCTGGGCTCACAGACAGAAGCTGAACACGTCCAGGTGGTGGTTCAGACTAATGCTCCACTCCCTGGGCATCGATTCTATAATGGCTAAGTAATAAGACACTCAGGGAGGCAGGCACACGTGTCCTCAAAGGCAGAGAGGTCAAGCACTATGCCTCTTCTCTGCCCCCACCTCTCATGGTGCTCCTGCCTCCAGCGCTGGTGGACGGCAGGGGCAAGGCTGGGTACCTGTTGTTGGTTCTGATGATGCAGCTTAATGAGGTGCTGCTGCTGTTGCTGCTGCTGCTGGAGCTGCTGCTGCTGCTGCTGCACCACAGCTTGGAATTGCTGCTGCATGGCATTCTGCTGCGCCTGGAACTGCTGCTGCTGCTGCGCCTGGAACTGCTGCTGCTGCTGCTGTAATGCCACCTGCTGGAGCTGCAACTGGGCTGGAGGTAGAGACCACGGAGTCAGGCCCCAGGTGGAACACCAGGGGCAGAGGACACCCCCGCTCTCCAGCATGACTGTGGGCCACAGGTTCCCGAGTGCTCCCCAGCATGCCCGGGGGGCACAGGTTCCCGAGCGCTTCACAGATGCGATGGGTTATGGGGCCGACGCTGTAAAAGCCAGAGCGAAAAAAGGCCGTCGCCAAAGGTTTCTGGAGGAATAGGAGGCTACAGGCCCCCGAGTGCCAGGCGTTTTGTGAGTCACATCCTACAAGGTCCTTTGTGACTGGCTTCTTTCACACTGCACGTCTTCCAGTTCCTTCACACGGCTGAACGTGTCAGTGTTTGATTCCTTCTCATTGCTGGTTAATATTCTATTGTACAGACGAACCACAATTTGATGAGCATTTAGGTCACTTATATTGTTTGGGCCATTCTAAGTAATGCACCATAGTGCGCATGTTTGTTTGTGGGGTGGTTTCTTTTTGGGGTGATGAAATGCTCTAAAGCTGATTGTGATCATTGGCTAACATTGCAAAGATACTAAAAACCAAGAATGCTGCATTTTAAATCGGTGAGCTGTACAATGTATGACGTACGTCTTGAAAAAGCTGTTTCACGTAGCCGAAACAGCCTTGAAGAGGAGACGAGAACAGGTCTCACGTTACAATTTCAACACACAGTATCACACTGTGTTGTTATTAATTATAAAGTACAGACAGAAACTAACAGAGTAAGACTGATAATCCAGAAGTAAACTCTTACATCTGTGGACCATTGATTTTCTACAAGAGTAGAAAATCTACCAAGTCTGCTTCACAGGGAAAGAATCTCTGCACCAAATGATGTGGGGACAATGGATCTCCACAGGCGAAAGAATGAAGTCAGACCCTAACTCACACCGCATCTGAAAACTAACCCCCAATGCATCGATGACCTAAATAAAGCCATGTGTACTCGTGTGTGTGTGTGTGTGTGTGTGTGTGTGTGTGTGTGTGTTTAGTTGTTTCATCTCATTGTCTGGGCAGGACTGAGTATCCCCCAACATATCAAGATGCTGAGTGGTTCCCCCACCTCAAGGATCCCTCCTCCTGCTGCCACCTCGCTACAGGTCCCCAACTCCATGCCTCCTGGAAGCCACTCACATATCCTCCAATTTCTGAATGTTGTCATCTCTGTTCCTTTTTACTGCAGAATATTCAACGGCATGATGTGACCAGTCAGACTGATCACCTACGGGAAGCTATCTACAGTGGCTCCAGTTCTGTGTGCTTACGAATATTTGCATACAGGTTCTTGGGTGAACACAGTTACACTTCTCTGGGACAAATGGCCCACACCGTGACAAGGGGTCCTACAGTAGTTGCATATTTAGTTTTTCATGAAACTGCCTGTTTTCCAGGAACTTTGGACAGCTTTACATTTGCACCAGCAATGTTCGGGAGATCTGGTTTATCCGCATCCAGGGCAGCGTTTGAAGACACACAGAAGGTCACTGTACTGAAAGAGTTGCCACGGCTCGGTCATTCCAGGAGCTAGTGTGCCATCAAGGACAGGTGGTATTGAAGAAGTAGTTCAGGCTGCACTGAGGCGTGGGTGTTGAACAAGGTTCCGGGAGTTGATAGAATACTCAAAGTAAGATGCTTTCCCAATGGATTGCGATGCGTTAACAATGGATGTAATGCTAGAAGCATTCACTTGTCTCTGCCAAGAAATAAGGAAGACAGCTGACTACCTGGCTGCAAGGGATCTGTATTTGTGCCCACTCCAAAGGAGAGGTGAAGCCAAGGTAACTTCTGGAACCTGACCAGATCAGATGACCAGCTACAGCAGACCTGAGTGACTGTTATCCTAGTAATCTCACCCGGAGTACCTTATATATTCGAGTAGAAGCCGACCCGATGATCAGCCAAGGCACCTAATTGTACCACAAAAACGGAATAAAAAATGTCCTGAAAAACTCCGCTTGTACACAGTATATACAGTAGTTTTTCTATTCTCTACTTAAGGACTAGTTTGACCTAGTTCAAGACTAGCTAGGACATGTTACCAGAAGGCACCAGTCACTAGAGAAGGACATCGTGCTGGGTAAAGCGGAGGAGCAGCGATAAAGAGGAAGGCCCTTGACAAGCTGGATGGGTACAGTGGTTACAGCCATGGGCTCAAACATAAGGACGATTGTGATGGTGATGTGCAGGGCTGGGAATTGTTTTGTTCTGTTGTACACAGGAATTGGCTCGACAGCACCTGTTAATAACATTCAGAGAGGTAAAATGTATTGGGAGATGGAAATGAGAACCCATGGGCAAAAAAGGCCAAGGTTAGTTGGCAGGCAATGGATGGGTTTCTCGTATATAAGGTCTTTCTGATCTTTGGTTTATAATTTTGCAAAAAGTAATTTGTTGGGCTACATCTACCCTGTGATTGGTGTTTTGCATACCTTATGAGAACTGCTGGGTCTACTGTGCAAATATGGGAAAACAACAACAAAACCCACTGCCACCGAATGAATTTTGACTCACAGCAACTTCATATAGGGCCTCTGAGACTGTACATCTTTATGGAAGCAGGCAGTCTCATATTTCTGTCAAGAAACAGCTGGTGGGTCTGAACCCCAGACCTTTCTCTTAGTCTAACACAAGTCATCATGTTACCGGGGCTCCTTATTGTGCAGACAAACCACCTAATGGGATTGAGTGACCTGCTTGCTTCTACAGTAAAATGTGCAAAAGCTGGAGCCTGTGTAAGGCAGAAACCTGTCAGAGAAGGAAAACTCAAATATCCTCTACTAAAACGAGTGCCCACAAAGTGTTAAGATTGTGCCCTACCAGAGGAAGAAAAAAACTTGAGACCCAGAAAAACAGGCAGCCCCGTGGAATTCTGGTTCTCACAGATTTTACTGTCTAAACCAACCCGACAGAGATTTTTCAAAGTCACAGAGAGAGAGATGTTATAACACTGAAGATGGCAAGAAACAGCACAAGATGGTGAGAAGTGGTTGAGAGATGGCAGAGCTTGGTGGCAGAGGCCCAAGTAAAGGGCATGGCTGAGGAGGAGCTGAGAATTGTCTTAGCTGGAAGCCATCCTGATTGATTCTGTCTTCTGAGCAGGTATAGTCTCCTTCCAATATGTATGGATGTTGTTTTTGTTAAATCTAGGTCCCGTATCTAGTTAGCTTTTCATCACCTGACCTCCAGCTCTCTGGACTTGAGCGAGCAGCCTGCTGACCCTGGGAGCCTTAACACTCGACAGTCTCTGAATCAGCAGCCTGACATCTTTCTTATCTGCTGACTTGGAGTTCATCAGACCCTGAAGCTACAGGAGTCAGAAAGGAGCCTCTGGGCTGACATTTGAGCCACAAAGCCTTAGAACTGCCCTTGATTCAAATATGATTCACAGAGACTCTACACAGGGTTTCCAAAACAGCACATCTTTATGGAAACATAAAGCTTCATCTTTCTCCCGAGGAGTGACTGGTAGGTTCCAATTGCTTCTCTAGAGAACCCAGCCTGAGACAGGTCCCAAATTGAGAACAACCCAAATGTCCTTCAGGAGTGAACTGCTGGGAAAAGAGAGTGAACTGCTAAGTAAGCGGTGGTGCACTCATACCATAAATCCTACTTGGCAGTCGGAAGGAATGAAATGACTGATATAGCCACTAGGTATGAATCGCAAGGGAATTCACCATGAGTGAAAACAGCCAATCTTGAGATATCTCATTTATGGGATTTGCAAAGTGATGAGATCGTGGTGCTAAGACCAACTGGGTCAGCAGCTTCCAAGGTTCATGCAGGAGGAGGCCGCAGTCATCGAGGGGGAAAAGAGGCTCCTTTGTGGGACTGGAGCAGTCCTGTATGCTGACTGGCTGGTGGCTGTTTGCTTCTACAGATGATAAAATTTCACAGAACCACAAACACATGTGCACACACAATCACACGAGAATGAATGTAAAAACAAGGGTGGCTCAAGTAAGGTCTCCACCTGAGGGCATAGGACTGCCCCACTGGGCAATTCTTGGTTTCAGCCTTGTTCTAAGAAAGACAGTCTCCTGGGGAGAAGTATAAGGAAGGGACATATGGAAACCCTTGGGACTAAGTAACAACTTCCTGTGAGTCTTTTTCAAAAATAAAATGCTCCATAAAAAGAAAAGAAAGAAAACACACCCAGCAGAGGTGTGTCAAGCCCGGTCCTGGAGAGGAAGGAGAAGCTACGGCCCATCTCAGACATATACAGCGCAAGCCCGCTTCCAGCCTGCACAGTCCCGGGGCTGGGCCAACAAGAGGGCAAAGTTCTTTCTCCAGGGAGGGGGGAGCTCAACGGAGAGGCTGCTGAGCTTGAACCTGGGCCCGACCAAAGGGACACATTAGCACTAAAAGGAGCAGCTCCCAAGCCCTGGGATGAAGAACAAGTCTTGGGGCTCTGAACACAGTCACGGTCACAAGCCACCCCTAGATTCCCATGAGTCTTCCTCTCTGAGCCAGAAGGAGAGGGCCTTGCTGTCACTTGACCCTTTCAGCCCACAACAGCATACAGAGCATGGATGTGAACGTCTCCCTCCTTTCCAGGACACCACTGCAGCGAGCAAAGGAACACGTGCACCAGCCCTGTAGACAGGCGCAAACTCTCTGTGGAACAGGGGTACTCACTCTGTGGAGCTGCTGTGGACACAACAGCCATGCCGTGGGGAGGGATACCGGAGGTTCCTGGAGGTGGCTGTCCCATGGTGCCCAGGCCTCCCATCCCGCCCAGGGGCTGGCCTGGGCCTCGAGCAGCCATGCTGATCCCAGTGGCTCCGGCAGTAGGGGCACCTGTCAGGTTCTGCAGAGCATTCATGGGATCTGTGGGACACAAGGGTATCAGAAAAGCCTCCACTGACCGTGTGGGCATGACAGCCTCATGGACCTTCTCCAGCCGACAGGGTCCATTCCTCAGAGCACCCCGGTCCCAGTTGAGGACCTCCTCACACCACTGGCCCAGAAGTTGGGTGTGTCTCTCATCGCCCCTCCCCCTATCCCCATCTCTGAGTCCCAGCAGCAGGGCGCCCACCAGCATCAAGTTATCCTGATGTGATGGGGCCAGCCTCGAGGGCTGGAGGCAGCTGGCCCTCCTGCTGTGGGCACACCAACGGATGACAATGTGACATACTTCAAAGATCAAAGTACTTTCACTTACGAAGAAACAGGGTAGCTTAGGTTTGAGGATTCATGCTGTTTTAGGAGAGCAGGTTATTATAGCAGCTACACTGCTCAGGGCCTGGCTGTGCTCTGCTGTGTTGGAACAGACTGGGTGAAACTGACAACCACCACCACCATGGTGACCTACCATCATAGTTCTCTCCCAGAGAGCTCCACTATGCTGATGTCTGATTGATTATGTGAATGTGTATATTCCTTTGGCTGGGTGCTCAGGGAAGCAGGGCAAAGATGTCATCTGACCTCACAGCTTGACAGGAAGGAAGGAAGGAGGGAAGAGAGGCAGGGGCCCCACACTGAGGGGTCCTTTTGACTCAGGCTTTCTTTTAAGACAGTCATGGCCCAGGCACCACTGGCACCCAGTTACCGCCTTCTTGATCCCCACCCCACCCCATCCAAAGCTGGGGAAAAACTTTAATTCAAAGAGAAAACTCTTACCACTGACAGAAGCTTGCGACTTCTTGTTATCTGCACAGAAAAACAGAACACAAACACAGGATCAACAGTGTGGCCCGTGATCACAGACCACTGGGTCACGAGTTCAGGCTGAGCCTGTTGGGCCTGGGAACCACACAGAAGATGTGGCAGCAGTTTGCAGCTAGAAGCCCCTGGGCTCCCAGTGCCCTAGGCAGTAAGACAAGGAAGGCACACAACTGGATCTGCCTGGGGCTCTGGAGACCTGCCTCTGAGGCTAAGGCACATCGGGGTCTGAAGCCTTTCTTCCAGGTCGAGGCCTCAGCACCACGAGCGCTATGGAATCCATGATGAGGGGCTTGGTGGTGGTGAGGACGCCAGGTTAACTGCTCCAGTCCTCTCTCTCCTCAAGATGGGGAAACAGGGCAGAATATCTGGATCTACAGCCAGCTCAGAGCTCCAAAGCTTGCCTGCTACTATGGCCTAGAGGGAGGTGGCAGCAGGGGCAACTGGGGAAAGCTGGCCAAGTAGTCTGGCCTGGCTCCCAGCCCCTTCTTTCCTACGCTTCACGGGATCATCTCCAACACTGCAAGAAAGTGACCTCAAGCAGTGTCTACCTGCGGGTCAGTCAGGGTACACAGTCGGTGTGAACAAAAGTCAAACCTACGGGCTCCTGGGAACTCTCACCTTGTTACTGGTTCCCTCTGACCCCAGCCCTGTCAGTAGCTGTCACCAAACCTAGGGGACGCGGTCACTCCCCCTACCACCAGTGGGCCAGTCTCTACTGGGGAGATACTGTGGTTGCGAGGAGCCCCTTGCCACTCGGCTTTTGTCTTCTTCCCCTACTGCACAAGCAGGTCAGGGCCCTGAAACCCTGAAAGAAGCTTCTGTCTCAGGGCAAACACTCACACAAAACAAACCAATCGCCACTGAGTCAATTTTAACTCACAGGACAGGGTAGAACTGCCCCAGTGGGTTCCCAAGACTGTTGCTCTTTATGGGAGTAGAAAGCCTCATCTATCTCCCAAGGAGCAGCTGGTGGTTTCAAACTGTTGACCCTACAATGTGTAACCACTGCTGCTTTAAAAAACTTGAGGTGTAAAAATAGGGTGTTTTTTGTTTTTTTAAAGATTAAACCAATCACCCTGAAGCCAAACTGCGTATCTGAGGCTGCAGCTCTAGAAGGGCGGGGAGAGCGAAGAACTTCCTTAAACACAGGCCTGTTCCCAGGCGTGCTCATGAGTGGCCCCCACCCCAAGTCCAGCCAGTGGCCTCTACTCCCCCAGAAATAAGCTCTTTACTCACGAATATCTCGGAAGTGGATAATGAGCCTGGCCACAAGAGAGAGGTATTCGTCCTAAAAAGAAGAAAAGGAAGCCGGTTCATCTCCGAGGAAGCTGGGAAACCATGGGTGACTCCCCTGCTGCTCTGGTTCGTCCAGAGGCCACAGGCAGGCAGTGGCGGCAGTGACGCCACCCAGGCTCGGCTCGAGTCCACTGCTCCCAGAAGAGCAGTGAGCATCGAGCTTTGCCAGCCTGCAAGCAGATGGCTGTGAGGCCTCGGGCTGAGAGGCCTGGAGCCCACCCCACTCCCCCGCCTCTCCAGTCGCCCGCCTGTGACAGGCCCGCCCGCCTGTGACGACAGGGCTGGCCTGTGGCCACAGGGTTCCTCCAGGGTGGAAGAGGGGGTGGGAGAGGGCGGGTGCTTTCTGCCCCATTTGGATCCCAGTGCTTTCACTTTCGTGAAGCGCTTTCCTGAGGGGGATCTGACTGGGTAGGCGGGGAGGGTAAAGGCCCATTTGTCCGAGGGAGGGTCCTTGTCCAGGTGGGCAAGGCCGGCCTGCCCCAGAGCAGGCTCTGGGCAACAGTCACTCAAGGCCTTCAGAAGGGCCAATTCCTCTGAGTTTATCTGTAGGCTGCAAAGGACACTGGGGTTAAATCTCTACTGGAATGCAGAAGCTCCTGGTCCTCTGCCCTACAGGGCTGCAAGCCCAGCCCTCTGTGTCGTGTGTTCCCCCCCCCCCCAGTACACACACACACACAGCATCCTGCTCAGCCCAGCACTGGGCAGCCACATTCCAGGGACAAGCAGGGACATGGATATCGCGCGCGCGCGCGCGCGCACACACACACACACACACATCTAGAGGAAAAGAAGTAAAATGGAGGTGGTTGTGGATAAATATTAAAAATTTTATATTTCAGTCTCAGAAACTCACAGGGGTAAGTTCTACCTTGTTCTATAGCAGGGGTGTCAAACTCAATTAAAACACCGGCCATTTGGTGCAACAGTGCAACAGGCAAGATTCACATGGGCCACATCACATTTACAAATTTTGTTAAATTTATATTTTGAAGTGAGGATTCAGGAGTATGGATATTAAAACACTATAAAATTGCTTTTATTTAAACATTTACTCTATTTAATGTATTTATAAAACGAAAATTATTCTTTTTTACCCGAAACTTGCCGGCGCTTTCCTCCTACTAGTTTTCACTTGCCTCTTATGTTGTGACCAGAAAACATAACAAAGTATCTAATAAAAAACACAAAATGTTGGACAGCTGACAATGGCTTCCCTTTAAAACTGTTAACTAGCGCTGCCGCTAGGTATGATTCATAACAGCACAGCCCAGAGTGCTCTTTTTAACCTTTTCGCTGTTAGGATCTGTTTACATTACGTGACACAGAGTGGCAGACATATCACTTCCAAACGTCACTGCAACTGAATTAGCGTGTTTCAACACTTCCACAGGCCCCCAGGAAAGGCACTGGGCCACATGTATATTCGTCTTCAGTAGCTAAAAGGTTAATGAGGGAATTGTGTGTACGGTATTGCCTCAATCTCTAAGCACTATTTTATTCATACCAATTTTTTCTATTTTCATTTTATTTTGGAGCACTGCGGGCCACAAAAAATTACCTGGGGGGGCCGCATGGGGCCCGCGGGCCGCCAGTGTGACACCCTGCTCTATAGGAATGCTCTAAGTTGGCACAACTTGATGGCAGTGGGTTTGGGTTTGTTTGTTTTTAATCTCCAAATTGGAGCCCTGGTGGTGTAGTGCTTACAGGTTGGGCTTTTAACCAGCAAGTTCAAAACCACCAGTCTTTCCTTGAGAAAGAGATGCGAGTTACAGTCTCAGAAACCCACAGGAGCAGTTCTACTTTGTCCTATAGGTGAGTTTGCACTGGGCTGCTGACCAAAAGAAAGGTTGCTGGTTTGAACCCACCAGCTGCTCCACGGGAGAACGATGAGGTCAACTGCTTCGATACAGACTTGGCGCCTCGGGAAGGCTGCAGTCAGAAGGCACTGGACGGTAGTGGGATTTGGGCCATGCAGTGGGTTAAGCACCGGGCTGTTCATCAAATGGGTGGTGTTTTCAACCCACCAGTGACTCTTGGGAGGAAGCTGAGGCCATTAGTTCCGACCAGGATTTACAATCTGGAAACTGTGGAGCAATCCTACTCTGGCCAACTGTCGGAAATGACAGCAGTGGGTCAAGCTAATGAACAGAAGACGACTCAAGGGGTAAGGGGCCCTGGGGAGGGAGTAGAAACTGGGTGGGTAGCCAGGGACAGAGGGCACACAGGAGGTCTCAATGACACTTGCTGGTGGGAAAGACAACCCTACCCCATCCCTGCCACAGGTGACGGGTCCTTGAGGGACAGTAGCTAGTGAGAAGGAGCAATGAAGATGTGGGTTTGAGGATGTACAGGGCCGAATGAAGTGGCTAAGCGAGAGGAGACCAGGCCCCAGGGCCTTGGGCCGATATACTCCATTTCCATCACACCCAGGCTCAGATGCCTGTGCCGGCCCTCTGCGCACAGACCTAGGACTGCGGGAGCTCTCCCTCCACTTGACTGACCAACTGCAGTCAGAGACCAAGGCCCCAGGCTGCAGGGCTGAGGCTACCAGCCAACCAAGGACAGGAGAGTAGGGTGGGGTGGAGGAGGGGCAACAGGGTTCCCTAAAAGCAGTTACATGTTTTCAGCCAAGTGATTTTCCTAAATTCTTCTGAAGGATTTTTGCTGGCTGAGTGCTGGAGGCCCTGTGCAACCACCCACAACAGAGAAGGTCCCAGACCTGCAGTGACACCCGGCTAACGCTTCCAGGACAAGGACTCCCAGTCCCTAACAAAGCGAGGAGTCCAGATGGCACAGCGGGTCTCCTCTTGCCCACAGGGATGGACTTAATGGCAATGGGCTTTTGGGTGGCTCAGTGAGGTGTGTGTGTATGTGTGTGTGTGTGTCTCAAGTGTCAGACTGCTCATCCAGAAGGTCAGCAGTTTGAAGCCAATGCAAGGGAGAAAAACGGGGCTGAGTGCTTCCGTAAACACTGGCAGCCTTGGAAACTCAGAGGAGCAGCTCCCCGCTGTCCGATAGGGCAGCTGTGAGCAGGAAGTAACTCAATGGCACTCAGCTGTAAGTGGTGCAACCAGTTAAGCAAGGAGCTGCTCGCCAAAAGATCTGCCCCTTCCCGCTGCTCCACGGGAGGCAGACACTAACTACTGCAAAGCTTTCCAACCCCTCTGGGATAGTGCCACCACATAGGGGGGCTGTGAGTCAGCACAAACTTGCCGGTGATGAGGAACGGTCCAGACAGCCTTGTAGTGGTATCCGTTCTGCACCAAAGCCCACACCCTTTCAAGACGACTCCAGAGAAAGGGGCTGAAGACGAGCTCAGAGCATCTCCTGCTCATCCTCAGAGCTCATAAGGCCGGTGCTAGCAGACCTGCATAGTAACTCCCCCAAACCCCAAACTATGAATCGTAGTTGATCTATAATACTGCCCTCTGTGGGTTTCCTAGATTGTAACTCTCCACAGGAGTAGAAAATCTCAGCTTTCTTCCTGGGAGTGGCCAGTGATTTCGAACTGCTGAGCTTGTTTTAGCACCCCAACACATAACCCACCACGCCACCAGGGCCCCTACATAGTAACTACATGATCAACCAAAGGAACACCTGAGCACAAAAGAGAGTTGGGCTCAGTCCTGATCACATGACACACACCAACGCATCTACTCCTCCTCCCAGCAGCCCTCTGAGAGGTAGTAGCTAGTGACATGCTTGTTTTACAAGTGCTTAAAACAAGTTCCATTGAATAAGCAAGACCCACGAATCAATGCATTAGGATTATGGTGCTGGTGAAGAATACTGGAAGTATCACGGACTGCCTAAAAAACCAGTAAATCTGGCTTAGAAGTATGGCCAGAATGCTCCATAGAGGCAAACTGGCGAGACTTAACCTTTATATCCATGTGATCAGGAGAGACCAGTTCCTGGAGAAGGAGCTCGTGCTTGGTAAAGTGGAGAGGCAGAGATAAAAGGAAGGTCCTTGACAAGATGGATGGACGTAAGTGGCTGCAACAATGAGCTCAATCATAAGAACAATTGGAAAGATAGTCTAGGACCAGGTGGTATTTGGTTCTGTCATGCATAATGACAATGAGGTGGAACTAACTTGATAGTACCTAACAACAAAAGAAGTCCCCCCAAAACCCCCAAATAAGAAACTCACTGCCCCCGAGTCAATGCCAACTCACAGAGACCCTGTAAGAAGCCCTCAAGAGTCAAAATACAAGCGTGCATCTATCTCATCTGAATTTTGGGAACATCTCAAGTACAGATTTGACACACTAAACCCTAATGACAGAAGACTGATGAGCTGTGAGATGACATCATGACATCAAGACATCATGAACATCATGGGTAAAGAAAGAAAAAGGTCATTAAAAATATAGGCAAGAAATAAAAAACCACAGTGGATGTCAGAGGAGACTCTGCAACTTACTGATGAATGTAAAGTAAAGTTAAATCTTCATTGCTGTTGAGTCGACTCTGCTCAAGTAACCCTACAGGGTAGAGTAGAACTGCTCCTGTGGGTTTCTGAGATAGAAATCTTTACAGGAGTAGAAAGCCTCTTGTTTCTCAGGGTAGCTGGTGTTGTTGAACTGCTGACCTTGCAGTTGGCAGTCCAACAAGGAACCCATTATGAATGGAAGAAATAATGAAGTAAAAAAAGCTGACCAGAAAAAATGTAAAGGCAAGCGAGAAGACAAAGTATTACAATGAAATAGGCAAAAAGGAAAACGCTCACATAGCTCTAGCTGAAAAAAACTGAAGACTTATACCTTATGTAATATTGAAAGATTCCACGGGAAAAATATTGAACGATGCAGGAAGCATGGAATGACGGTGGAAAGTATGCACAGTCAATGCACTTAAAATATGTGGACGATGTTCAACCATTTCAAGCGGTGGCATAAGATCAAGTATCAATGGTACTCAAGGAAGAAGCTGTAAGTATTGACAGAATTCCAACTGAAATGTTTCAACAAACTGATGAAGCCTTGGGAG